TATCAAAACTAAAGATGAAAATTACTTATAAATCACTAAATAAAAGCTATAAGATGCAAATAGGTATTTATAATAAATTACATAACAAATAACTTTTTAAGAATATATAAATTAGATGAAAAAAAAAAGATATACATAAACTACAATGTGGACTATTATGAGACATTCGATGAAAACAAATATAGTAAAAAATTTATCGTCCTTTAATCTACAAACTTTAATTAGTATTTAGAGTAATTATGTGTAAGAATATTTTTCTTTGTAATAATATTGAGGAAGATATATACATAGATACTGATGAAGGCTTCTAAGGAAAAATAAGACATAATAAATTGTGTATATAAAAAAAAAATACTATATGATTTAGGAGGTATACTAAGGGTTTGGATTTGGAAGATTTGAGAAAATAATGTTTGCCGCTTGGTATAAACATTATCTGAGAGATTATATATTATTTATAAAGTATTTAGATTTAGAAAATATCACAATTTTTTTAGTATATATATCAATGATAAGAGTAGTCAAGAAATATAAGAATAAGAAAAAAACATTAAGAAGATGTTTAATCAAAACATTAAAGATAAAAGAATTTGGAAGACCGAAAGACATTTGAGAATTAAAGTAACTGAGTCTAATGGATCTTTATTTCACATCAGAATTATGTATAAGACAGAGAGTAAAGCTAGTAAAATAAAGCTCTAACTGTGATTAAAGAAATGTATTAAAGACTGGTTGAAAAAATTATATATCTTACTCATATAAGTTCATACATTAAATATGACTTAAAATGTAATTAGTCCATCTATGCATAATTTAAGAGATACTATATTTATTCAGTTTATAAAATATTATATTACCTAAAAGCTAATCTTGGTAAATAAATTGTATTAAAACGGAACATTAGATTATTCTTTCAGGTATGATGTAGATAATGTAGATTTACTAGTTGATAGATAGTTTATTGTGAGTTATTACACTTTTCTTATATGTAATCTTATAATTTTGAGAAATACGACCATAATATGGTGTTAGATCAAATATCGATGTAAAATTTAATGTGATAACATAAGTGTGTGAATTATCATGGATCAAACTACTTTCGAAAGATTTAAAAATTTGATGAGAATGACCAATAAACTTAACCGATAAAAAATGCATATTCACCAATTTGATGGGAGCATTAAAAGTTCGTAAGTTTTTTATCTTAATATTTGAAAATATGTCTTCTTAAAATTATAAGATTCGAGTTAGAGAATTTTAGTTAGATTGGGAATCGATTTGATCTACTGTAGTTATTGAACTATTTTTTTTCTTTATAAAAATTATATATATACACATATATATATTCAGTCTCAATATACAAAAAAAAAAAAAAAAAAAAAATTCTAAATTTTCTCTAAATTTCACACCTCGCTTCCCTGAAAACAAACAAATCTTTTGTTATTTCATATTTTGTATTAATTACTAATTTTTACATGAAAACATCAAATCATATTTTCTTTTACTGTTTTAAAATTCACCATATCTAGTAAAAAGGTCAACATAAGAATTGAAAGCCTGTGACTCCTCGTTAACTACATAATTTACTGCAGTTAAAAAATTAAAGCTTCAATTTTTATTCCACCTGGTTGCCGCAAGTACTGAATTGTACCAGCTAATGGAAAACAAGTAATTACCAGTAAGAGAAGAAAAGAAAAATCAAGAGAACACTTGCTTCCTTACATCACATCGTTCATCGCTCTCTCCTTCAGTAGAGAAAGAGAACACCATTCTTTTCATTTCCCTCCACAGATCTCCAAATTTCCAATCTCCAAACCCTAACTTTCTCCTCGATCCTTAATCTCCATCAACAACGTTCGTTCTCTCTTCATTGCTCAAAATTGATCCTTGTTATGTGATATTTGTTTGTATGATTCTGGAACCTTCTTGAACCTTCATGGACAGACATTTTCAGTACGATGCCTGAGCTGCGTAGCCACGCACGCAGAAATCGGGCGCAGAACAACCCAAACCCGAACCCGATTGCCCCGATTCCGCAACCCGACAAGCTCACTGCCCGACCCAGTCGCCAGAGGAGGACCGCTCAGAACAAGAGGAACAAGGACCCAGTAGCTGTTGCCGACGATAAAGCCGGCGGAAGCAATAATATTGTGGACCGTGTGGACGGTGTGCAAGCGACGCCGTTATTGGGGGAAGAGAGGGGGGAAGAGGTTAGGGTTTTGAGTAAAGAGGTGGCTAAGAAGACCATGGACGAGTACGATAGCGGCCGAGGAAGCGGCGATAAGGGGCCTGGAGCTGAGGATGAAGGAAGCACAGCACCGCTTCCCGAGAAGGTGATTTAGAAAAAAAGATGTTTTCTTTTTTGGATGATCGATTTTATGTTGGATTTTTTCCCTTTAAGTCGAAGCTAAGAGATTAAAGTTTTCTAATGAGGAAATTTCGAGATTTTATGTTTTATTAGTCGGTTGGATATATCTTTTTGTCCCTTAGATGATTATCTTTTTCTGTAAATGTTATGAAAGCAAGTCATAATTTAAGGAGTATGTTCGAAAGGCCTCTGTCTTAAGTTGACAACTATCATGCTTGTCCAAGATAACGTGGTTATCTAGTTTGGAAAATCATTTTATTGTTTACTTTCATTGCAACAGGTCCAGGTTGGTGGTTCTCCAATGTATAAAATAGAAAGAAAGTTAGGAAAAGGTGGTTTTGGCCAAGTATATGTTGGCAGGAGAATTGGAACTGGGCCTGGAGCTGCAGAGGTATTTCCTTCTTTGTATGTGCATTGGCATGCTTAAACAGTAACTTCACGGGTTATTTGCTAATTTGATATGCGCATGTTTCAGGTAGCCTTAAAATTTGAGCACAGAAGCAGCAAAGGATGTAATTATGGTCCACCATATGAGTGGCAAGTGTACAAGTAGGACTTCTGCTTTTCTCTTGATGTATGCTTGTTTTGTGTTAGTTGAGTCCTCAGTTGTCCTGGTTACTCCCTATGTGAAGTAACTCTTGCTTGCTGTTCTGTTTGTGTAGCGCCCTTGGTGGTAGTCATGGTGTGCCACGAGTTCATTACAAAGGCCGGCAAGGTGATTACTATGTCATGGTATGTGTCTTCTTCCAATTTTTCCGTTTGAACAGTGAGTCATATCTTGCTCCATTCTGATCTTAGAAGGATCCTGTGACGTAATTCTACAATCCATACAGGTCATGGACATTCTGGGACCTAGCTTGTGGGATGTTTGGAATAATAACTCGCATACGTAAGGATTTCTTCCTGATTTTGGTTTTTTTTTAATCTTCGAAATTTTGGTTTGTTTTCATCTAATCTTTGTTCTTTTTTTTTTTACTGCTTTCTTTTCAATTCCAGGATGTCCATTGAAATGGTTGCATGTATTGCTATCGAAGCAATATCTATACTGGAGAAGATGCACTCAAAAGGGTGATACTTCTTTTGCTAATGCTGTTTATGATCTTTTCTCCACCCCCTTTGGTGAAATATAAGGATACTTGGCTTGTCAGGCAATTTTGCCATATTATGACGTACTCATACTACTCCCAACCAGTGGGATCCACAAAATATCCAGAAGCACAGCTCAAAAATTTAAATTGAACTAAGCATCCTTCTGATATATATACAACATTCATATATATAGAACATGAGATTCACAAGTAGAGTTTAACAAACGATACGATAACTAAAATAAAATAGAATATACACTGATCAAGGCGCCCTCAGGTGTCCTTCACTCGTCTGGCACTTATTCCAGATTCACGTGATTTATAAAATATCATGTGTGAAATTCAATGAGTTTTACTAGCTTAGTAAGTATTTCTGTTATTTAATATTCAAATCAGGCGTCATGCAAGCACATGCATACATATAATAAATGTAATACTAAAATTTCTCAAATCAAATGTTCCTTGTAATTTTTTCAAAGTGCTTTTAACTTTACAATCTTTAGATTTAATAGTTCGCTTATCTTTAATAATTAATTTCTATATTGAAATTTTATGCATTTCACTAGAATTTCACAATTACACTCAAATATTACCTTTACATTCGCCTCTCCTTGATGACGATATAAACAATATCGCGCGATGAAATCCTGTATGTGATATCCCGAGTGTAGATGTGACACTTTGAGTATAGTGGTGATATTTCAAGTGTAAATGTGATATTTGAGTGTAAGCATGATATTTGAGTACAAGTGTGATTAGTTTTTAGTAGTATGTCTGATCTTAGCAGAGCCTGGGAGCAAGTGACTGTGCCTGTCTCTGCATCAAGCTTACTATCGATCTTGGCCACAGAATGAGAAATAGGACATGATCATAAATTTTGCACGTTGTCGTTATTTTACCATAATTCCTTACTTTTGAAAAGAAAAAAAGAAGTTCAAACCTTATTCGTGACTTAGATGAGTAAATGGCTTTCAGCCAATGACGCTTTAGTAGTTTCTTTTCGTCTTTGTAATGAATATTTGGATGATGTAGCTGCTCCAATCTTTGGCAGATATGTGCATGGTGATGTCAAACCTGAGAACTTTTTGCTTGGCACCCCAGGAACTTCTGACGAGAAGAAATTGTTTCTTGTTGACCTTGGATTAGGTAAGGTGTTAATATCTTATTTTGTGCTTGTGGCTTAGAATTAAAACTAATCTGTAGGCTTTTTATTTTTCTGTGACCTTCCAGCAACCAAGTGGCGAGATAGTTCAACTGGGTTGCATGTTGATTATGATCAACGTCCAGATGTATTCAGGTCATCTAAATTTGATGCCTTTGTTTGACCAAAGCAACTTTATTTCTGCTTGGCATTTCTGCATGTCCTTTTATTTCACATAATAGTTCGTTGTGTTTTGTGATCCCTGTGTTGCAGGGGGACAGTGCGGTATGCTAGCGTCCATGCTCATCTTGGTAGGATTGGAAGCCGGAGGGATGACTTGGAGTCTCTTGCTTACACACTTGTTTTTCTTCTACGTGGCCGGTTGCCTTGGCAAGGATATCAGGTTTATAGCATCCAAATTGTTGAATGATTACATATATTTTATATTTCACCCTCTGATAGTAGGATGATTTATTTAGGGAGAAAATAAAGGATTTCTAGTCTGCAAGAAGAAGATGGCCACTTCCCCAGAAACCCTGTGTTGCTTTTGCCCTCAGCCTTTCCGGCAATTTGTTGAATATGTAGTGAATTTGAAATTTGACGAGGAACCCAACTATGCTAAGTATATCTCCCTTTTTGATGGGATTGTTGGTCCAAATCCAGATATTAGGCCAATAAACACTGATGGTGCTCAGAAGGTACTTCATATTTCCTTTCTGGATCATATGATTGTTTTGTACTTGAGACAAATCTACATGAGTTTTGTTTCGATTTTACTTAACATGCAAATTTATTATGAAGCTTATTTATCAAGTCGGCCATAAGAGGGGACGTTTGACTATAGAGGAAGAAGAAGATGAACAACCAAAGAAGAAGGTTCGGATGGGAATGCCAGCAACACAATGGATTAGTGTTTACAATGCTCGTAGGCCAATGAAGCAAAGGTATGATCTAAAAGTTACTTGATTATTTCATGAATTTTATGGCAGGACAGGATTTGATATTTCCCTCCTGTTGTAGATATCATTATAATGTGGCTGATGTGAGGCTCTCACAGCATATTGAGAAGGGAAATGAAGATGGATTGTTTATCAGCAGTGTGGCTTCTTGTGCAAATCTATGGGCTCTAATTATGGATGCCGGAACTGGATTCATTGCTCAAGTTTATGAACTCTCACCGTACTTTCTTCACAAGGTTGATTGTGTTACCTATGAACCAGGAAGTTATCTTTTTGAAATTTGTCACTTTTTATGCTACATGCCAAAATGTGTTGCATATTGCGGTGAAGCTGCACAATTTGGATCCTGATACTTTATGCTTAGAGAAGTTAAGTCTGTTTGAGACCAACAACTAACCAAGTAACTTTCGTCCTTTCTGAAGGAGTGGATTATGGAGCAGTGGGAGAAGAATTATTACATCAGTGCAATAGCAGGAGCAAATAATGGAAGCTCATTAGTTGTAATGTCTAAAGGTTGGTTTCCTTTTCCTTCTTACTTTTAGCTTATTATAACCTGAAAATGGGATTTCTATGTCATAATGCTTTCTCAAATTATATGTGAATCCAGGAACCCAGTATCTGCAGCAATCTTATAAAGTTAGTGATTCATTTCCTTTTAAATGGATAAATAAAAAATGGCGGGAGGGTTTTTATGTCACTTCCATGGCTACTGCTGGAAGTAGATGGGCAATCGTTATGTCTCGTGGTGCTGGGTTTTCTGACCAGGTTCTGTTGGCATCTTTTGATTTATGCTAAAGTTGAATTTATCATGGTGGGAAAGAAAAAGATATAAATATTGACATTATTTTCGTTCCTGGGGTTTATCACAGGTTGTGGAACTAGATTTTCTATACCCCAGTGAAGGTATTCATCGAAGGTGGGACAGTGGTTACCGCATAACCTCTACTGCAGCAACCTGGGACCAGGCTGCTTTTGTTCTCAGTGTGCCAAGAAGAAAACCGGCTGATGAGACGCAAGAAACTCTTAGAACTTCTGCTTTCCCTAGTACGCATGTCAAGGTCGTAATTGAGATTTCTTATTCTCCTCCAAATAAATATTCATTTTGGCACTCCAAATTTGAAGTAATTTTGATATGGATCCTCAACCTTCAATTGTGGCTTAGCATTTAATAGAGATCCTTGATGGAATTCACTGCCTTTAAACAAATCAAGAAGCATTCAGAAACTTAAAAGGTCTTTTGAAGGAAACACTCTTTAAAAAGCAAGAGGAACAAATAAATAAAAATCTTTTAAGATTTCTATTACTGCTGCTACATTTGTTGATCCAACAGCTGTTAGAGAAGAGAGTGAGTAGGGTTGAGCAGCTAATGGCAGAAAAAAGAGAGAAGATAAAGAAGAAAAGAGGGAAGGAGTGAGAGAGAAGGGATACAGAGGAGGGCAGCACACCTGCAATGCCGGTGAGGGTGGCTAAACGGCAATGCCGGTGAGACTGGAGTGTTGGTGACTCACGGATGCAGACTACAAATGACATTGAGTTGTGCGTTTGATCATGCAAGAAAGGGTTTGCATGTTTAAAGAAGGAAAATGGGGGAACAAGAGAAGAAACAAGGGAGACGAAAAGAAATAGTAAATGGGATGTCAAAATAAAGAAAATTTTTTGTTTGTATTTTGCTGTGCTTTTGTCAGGATTTAATTAATGAGGGAGTAATTGTCTAGCAAAAAGCAAGAAAAGGAAAGAAAAAGAGCCATTTGGTTTCGCATTTTACTGCCTTATCGAGTACATCTTGGATGGAAATATTTGACAGTAATTTGTTGGTTCCTTGTCAATGGCCAACCATTTTCTGATTTGGTTGTTCCCATAATATTTGCTTTTTTGAAGAAAATTGAACAGCAGAACCAAAATTACTATTTTAACCGTTGCTCTATTTCGTATATATTTTTTGTCTCTATTTGACAAAATGCAGAAGATTTACAATTTTTCTTTTGCAGGAGAAATGGGCGAAGAATCTTTATATTGCATCTGTTTGCTACGGTCGAACTGTTTCATAAACATGCAAAACTTTTGCTGGGATGTGAATGATTTCATTTTTGATCATGCGCTCGTACGAGAAGAGATAGCTGTTGATCATCCACCCCAGTGGAGACTAGGATAATCTATAGCCAGGTTGTCTGGACACTGCATGTGGGACTTGATATATGCAAAAACTCAACTTAATTGTCATCATCATGTAGCATCTATTGCAAACACCTGTGCTGTCTTTCAATTCAGTCTAAGTCCTTGAGAACGAAACGTAGATGTTTAATGTCCGCTAGGATGGGGCCTCTTTATTACTATTGGAATGTATAGTTTTTGAACAATAATTAGTTTGTTGGAGGCATGTGCACAGGTCATTGATTATCAAAAGATGTTTTGGAAATGTTTCAGTGGGCTTTAGGTCCTTTCAGTTGTTCATTCTGTACTTTTTGTTTCTGAACTTGAGTATCCTTAAGATTGTTTATTTAACATCTCGCATCTGGGTTATCTGATTTTAACCTTTGAGGAGGGAAAACATGTTTCTTATCTTGTAGACTTTTGAGGCAACAGTTCACTGTGGTTTACTGTTGACTTTCATTCATGTAAGAGGTGCTTCCTAGGAGTCTGTGCACATGTAATTAAATTAAACTTAGATATATGCAACTGCTTCAATTCCATTTCCTTTACACCTCTGCTCTCCTAAGATTCAGACATCTTTAGGTGTTACTTTGACTTGGCTAGAGTTAATTAACTCAGAAAGCCATGTAAGCTGAGTGGATTTTATTATTTTGGTTGGCACCAGATAAAAAGCTAAGGATCATTCGACCTGCTTGAATTTTATGTTGTAGATAGGCTGTTTAAGTATTTATTAATTAATACTTTTTTACTGGCTACTTCCACAGAGAGCAGATGGTTTCATTGTGTCAATGTTCTTGGTCATCTGTCACTAAGAGCTGCTGTCAGTGGTCTATAGTGTGTTGGCTTAATTATTGTATTGCAGGTTGTATCTGATTGTTTGCGTGAGTCTTAACAATAAGGAGTTGCAAGATTTTCCGTGCATTATTATCACAGGTAAAGGAATTCATTTTCATGTTTAGGATCTTCGGATTAGAAATACAGGAGCAATGCCCTTCTAAACAGTCAGATATTCTCGGACTAAGTGCCTTTTTGCAGTTTGGAAAGTCCTGGGACTCCAGGTACCTGACACAATTTTCATACTGGAGTTTGTGGTTCCTTCTATTTTGTTGCAATTTGGTTAATTATTTTTATTCTTTACCTTATTACCATCCATTCTATTACTTGACTGGCATAATTTTATTGATCTCTGATGCTTTTGGTATTTTTGTTGGCATGGTTTACACTGTTTTTATTTGTCATGCACAGGCCATTTGGTTTATTCATGTATAGCATCTATGGTTTAAGGTTTCCCCCATAATAAATTGATTTTAGGGAGAATATGAGTCAAATTTTGTTTCTTTTTTTCTAATTAAGTGGAAAAAAATTTAATCATTAAAGCATAAAGGGTATGTCACCGCTTTAAAGTCTTTAAACTGAACCCTGTAAGACCAAATTGAATCTTTGCATATCCCTTTTAAAACCCTGGTATAAATAAATATTCAGAATTAGTTTTCTGGAATTTATTTGGAAATGGATTTTGTGAAGTTATTTCCAATTAACATATGTATGCCCTAGGTGATTGTGTGAAGATAGAAACCAAACAAATGAACAAGCTCCTCCAAACCATCATGACTCATCATCCAATAATTAGTTTGTAGGAAATATGAAATTTGTTGTTTTAGTTCTATTTAGAATTTATATGAAATGAGATTTTCATATCTTGATGCCTTGACTAAGGATAATTCTTGAAGTAAACTCCATATAAGTAGCTCATTTGTTTCTAACATACCTGTAGATAGAGGAATTGACCATGCGACTTTTTTTTCTTTAAATCTCCTTTGGTAAATAAATTCCCTATGAACTCCTAATATTTGGAGCTTGAATTGATTGGAATGCCTATCATGTGAATACATCATTTAGCCGAGTTGTACCAGTTTGTCCTTTTAGCTTTTTCTTTTTTGGGTTTGGGGGGAGGGGGGGTGGAAGTGGGGGTATAATGAGTGTAACGGGTTTCAAGAAGTTGATATCATATGATTATATATGAAATGATCTATTTTTGTGCTTTCCACAGTAAGATTGTTTTTTAGTGAGGCTTCATTAGTGGAATTGAATATTGAATTTTGCGCGTACCTCATTTTTTATTTGCCTAGTGTTTTTAAGAAATCCAAGCACATCTCTTACTTCAACACTCGGGGGTTTGCTACCATGCATGTGCTATGAAAGTTGTTTTTCTAGTAACTTTGCACTTAACTATATTCTCGGCATTGTAACTCCAATTCTGTGTCTTCTTCAAGGCATGTGGTTTATAAATTTTGCTCAAATTACAAAATGACATCTTTTCAATTTCTCTCAACCACTTCCCACCTTTTTTTCACTGGATTATGTGAAAGGTATCTCATCTGCAGTTGGATATTTATAATTTCTGATTCTTACTCTTGGTATCCTGAGCATTGTTTGTATGCATATTCAGGGCTGCATTCTTTCAAATACCAGATAGAGTAAGGGGAACTTAGCTAGAACTGGAGAAGTTCCAACTTTTTTATTGCACCTTGTAATGCATAATTAATGTTGTGTATTCTATTGTTTTTCTTCAGTTGTAGGTCTCAAATGGAAGCTTTTCTTGTCGGAGCAACTCGGGTGGTGAAGAATCAACCTTGACATGGAAATGTAATCCGTTTGACGATGGTATGTCTATGTGCTTCCACCAACATTCAGCTTTCTTGGTTGAATAAAACTTTTCTAGACAGATAATTACATAACTTTGCAGTGAAATAGAGTTGTGTACAGGTCCAATACCTGTAATACAAGCCTGGCATTAGAAAAAAAATGTGTGCCAAGAATGATATTGAATTGGGATGTAATGGGAAAGACTGAAAGGAGATGTTTTATTTCCTATCCAATTTCGTTTTGTATTTTGTTTCTAAATGTTGTGTTGGGGGGCTAATTATAGTTCTGTTTGTAATTACGTATCTAATTATCGAATGGTAAAAAGTAGTTGATACCGAAAAAAGCTCAGTACTCGAATTGTAATTTGATTGAATCCCATTTTGTTGGGTAGTTTTACTGTGCATGTGTTGAAATATTTTTTATTATTCATTTTAACAGCAATTTGATTGTTTCAATAACTAATTTTTTTTTAATCAAGAATTTATTTTTCAACGAATGTCTAAAAATGCATAAGTTTTTGTTTCCTTCTATTACCATTTACTGTCTTGTGATGAGTGAACTAAATCTTGATGAGTCCAACAGTTGTGGAAATATGTAGCTGGAACAAATTCAAATTTGTAAAAAAATTATGAGTTCACATTTACTCAATTATTAGATACACAAATTTTAATAGATAACAGAAATTAAACTCAGAAGTTAAAACTAAAATACATTTCAAATTTTATTAAAAATCTTAAAAACTTTATACATTAAATTAATATTCATGAACTAGAAGTTACATTTATTGAAATAGGTATGAAGTTCCAGAAATTCTATATAAATTTTATGTTTGCTCCAGTGATAGCGCCTAAAGTTTTGCGATGTAACAATTTCCGGCACCATAATGAAGACGGTGAGAAAAGGAGACAGCAAAGAGCAAATTCAAAGGAGAAACAGTTCCATTAGCTCCACAGAAGAGAAAAAGAAGTGCGCTGATAACACCTGTAATTGCATAAACTTAAATTCATCAAATCTACAATGTTCATATCATACAAATAGTGTGGCAACCCTACCCAGCTTAGAGTCGATGAAATATTTGTGAGTTTGCTTGCAGGCAGAATACAATTTAATATGTTGGTCTGCGACATAGTCTCCTCAATCGAACTCTCTCCTAGCAAGTAAGGAATGAACAAGTATTAGAAGACAATTACAAGCCGATTAAACGGGCATGGAGCATCATCATGTGTAAGCAATACTTGCCTCACTATTGTCATGGTCATAACGGATTAGGAAAAGACACCTGCATCCCCTTATATCATGCATTCTCCTTTGAATTTCTTTGACGTGAGCATCATAATAGATTGCTTGATCTCTTCTCTCCTAAAATTCAGTTAACCATAAATATGCAAGGAAAATAAAAGGCAACAAGTTTCATGGCATTTCAAGATTTATGTAATGCATTTAGAATTACCTGGAAGCATAGAACAAGATCTCCAGTCTTCAACTTATGACATTCAGTGTGCTCCAGTGGAATGGATCTTTCTCGTACAGCATTTTTAACATTCACCCACTCATCTTCCTCAACTCCAAATCCAACAAATCTGACACGAACTTCCTTTAATAATTAACAAAAACGTTAATGAATTTACAGATTAAAGAATAAAAGATATTCAGGTTTTTCATATAGTTATTAGTTATATCAGAATCACCACAACATGGCTTGTCACATACAAAAGTACATACTAACATGCAACCACATACCAACATATTCAAAATATCATGATTACTTAGAAAGAAAAATCTTATATTAGTTAGTTCCCTTCAAATAACAATGCAAGTACTTCACAGTTTAAATACTTACAGCTTCTCCAGAACAAGTATATCTATGACAAAGAAATGTGTCAACATCATACCTGCGGTGAGAAAAATAACAAGACCTTAAGAAATAGCATCAAGCAAGTGCCTAACTGTTCAATTGAATCATCAGACAGACACCAGAACAAAAAGAATAAGAAGCTTTTTCCTCTTCATAGCTACATTCATTGCTATTTTCAGACAACTAAAACACAACAAAAGAAATGATTTTTTTTTCAGAGAATTATAATTCATTAAAAAGGCGCCGAGTACCACTCAACTACAAAAATATGCAACATTTACAATTCCTAAAGGATGAAATATAAAAAAAATCCAAGATATCTATATCTACCCCATCTTGAATGGGTGACTCCAAGACAAAATACATACGAATCATCAACCAGTAATTCTCTTCTGATGCCAGCCAAAAAGGATGAAGAATTCTCAAAAACTTTCCTATTTCCAAATTATGCGAAAAAATGGACAAAAGAATGAAGATGGCATTTTCCGACCTTCAAGCCAGACCACATCCAAATTTCCTCTTTGACGCAACGGAAGAACACAACACGCAAAGAAATATTTAAGATGAGCAAGAGCCAAATCCCAGAGCATTTTAGTGTCAGAAAATGAAACGAGAAAATGGGCAGGGGATACCCACCCTGGTAGGCATAAACAACAGCCATCAACCAGATTTTTTTTTTAAAGTAAGCCATCAACTCAGAATTCTTCCTCTTTTTATCAAGTTATTCAAAGTAAGAAATCTTTCCCAAGCTGCTTCTCACTGAGACCACTAAGGGGCAATGCCTAGGTCTTCTATGGCTTTTTCAAGGAAAAACAGTGCAAAATCTGGTAAAAAAAGTGGTAGTGGTTTTAACAAGCCATTTCTAGAGATCTCCCACACCAGGAAATCTTCCTGATTGGGCTGGACGCAAACTGATTCCGAATATGCAAATAGGGAAATCCACTCATCCACCTCCTAGTCATTGAGTTCTGGAGAATAGGAGTATTTAATTGAATCTCACCCATTGTGTACTCATAGCATTCTTCTACCTTAGCCTCAAACTTGTCAACAGAAGAAAATGTTAAGTTTAGCGGTCCATACATACACCAACAGTCACCAATACTAGACCCTCCTCGCATTGCCAACATAAAAAGTTGGAGCAGCTCATAATGTCATTCAAGTCCTTGTTAATCCAACTGGATTGGGTAAAGCCAAAAGTACCCCTGCCCCCTCAAGAAAACCACCCACTAATAGCAAAACCATACCTTGTAGTGAAGAATTTCTCCACAGGGCATTTTTAGAGGATAAAAACCATCACAGCATCTTAGCAAACAATGCAGAATGAAGATTGCAATTGATGTTATCCCTAGCCCACTTTGCATGATGGCTACTTTGTTTTCTACCAAGTAACAAGGTTATATTTTATTTGAACCCCACCATCTAACTGCAAAAATCTGCTTTTGACTGTCAATCTCTTATGGGTGTTCAGCAGGCTGATTCAGGTATGGGGTGAAAGGTACCTTTCACCTATGTTAACATGAGATTTTTCTCATGGAAGGTACAAGAACATTTAGCTGAATAAGCTAAGTATTTCTATTTTTAGTGCCTAAAGTAAGTTGTTAGCCCATCTGTTTGGAAGTTCATTACACAGTATATCAAACTTCACTTTCTAGAACTGTGTTAAATTATTTACACTCCACCACATGGTTCAACTGGCTTTCCTGCTCCAACTAGCTAGGTTGGCCGTAGCAGAAAGAGGGGGGAGACGACCACTAAATAGACTCACAAGGATAAAGGGACTCTCTCTTCCTTCCTAAACCCAAACTTAGTTGTAAGAAGACAAAGTAGCATAATTGGTAGAGTTTGGTTTTGAAGAGCAGAAAATGTTGATTACAAAACTAATGTGTTCAGGTTAAATTTACAAGAAATGGGATCTCATTAATGTGGCTACATGGATTAGAACCAGAAGAGTTTCCATAACTACTTTTTATAGGATCTATTTTGCTTCAAAGCAGTGAATCATACTGAAAGTCTTCCTTGATTGAAAATTATTGCATATTTCTTCAAAGGATTGATCCCTAAGCAAGTATCTCCATCGGACAGACTTTCAAGGTATTTTAGACACTGAAATCATTCAATATAAAATAAATAAGAATCTCGGATAGCATTATTCATGACCACTCTCCAAGTGAACTATATGACAGTTTATTGCAACCCATGACTTAGTAAGCAAGTGACCTTTAAGACAAATGGTACTGTGGTGAACATGCCATGATTGGCAAAACTACTGCAACGTGCAATTGATGGTAGCAGAATCTCCAAAATGTTCAATCACATATCAGAGAGGGCTTTTTAATTGAAATAATGTACTGGTATTTGAGATTGTTGAAAGAAGTGTGAATACTGCAATAGATGTTTTAGTAATACGAAGTACCAGTTTGATGATCTAGAAAATAGGTAGTTACATGTTTAGATAAAATGCCTATATAAACATGAACTTTTTCTAGTTTTTAATGCAAACAAAGATAAATGTATGAGAAAAAATAACTGAACATGTCATGACAATTAGCATCGTAAGTCAATACAGTAAAAGTAGGGGAATGTGCTATCTTCTCTATAAAGTTCCTAATGGCAATACACTAAGTATCGTTCTATTCATAGCAAACAGATAAATTTTTAACAAGTTACTTAGAACTGCTTAAATACGCTCAATAAGCAACACCAAATGTCCTCATAGTACCATGCCTCCAATCTTGCCCCTAGATTACTCACTCCAAGAAAAAGGTCTTGAATCAAATCTACAACTAAGATTATTCCCAACCTTCTAAAATTTCACCTACGCGTGAATAAAATATCTGTATCCATGTAAACATCACTCTTATGTGCCTAAAATCAGCTATAAAGTACTTTCAACCATTCTGTTATGCTTTCTTATCCAATATTTCTCATTGTCATCTACAATTTTGGAGTAGAATGACAATACTTAAATAGCTGATGCCTTGTCTTGCAATTCAAAACTATGATTTCTTATGCTTAAACATTAAAAACGGTGTCATCATAGAGATCTATCAACATTTTAGCAATGACCACAACAATTTTAATTGTTCTTGCTTTTTCATTAATATGCATGCTTACCATGCTCCATCTTTTGAAGACCTGGCCTCGAATTCCAATTCTTCCAAATTGGGAATCTTCTCTCCTACTCCTGAAAAAAAATGGTGATTCAGAAATAAATCTCTTGGCAGAAGTTTAAAGGACAAACAGGTCAAATGTCCTACAGGTCCCATTTTCTATCTAAAAAGGATATCATAAGAGATACGAGTCCTAGAAACTAAGAATTGTTAACTAATAGGATCAAGACAAAAAGTAAGAAAGAGAAACCTTTCTTGTCCTGTTTCTATCCAATTGAAGCCTCATCATTTTAATGAATGACCATCTTAGTTATTTTATGGTCAAAACTAATGATGCAACTTTGTCTTAAAAATTATCCTATATGCCTTCTTTAGTTCATCAAGCTATGCTAATATTCTAAAGAGATGCATTACGTATTATCTGCCATGCAATGGCATGTTAATGTTAAAACCAGGCATCTTAGAGATAAATGTAGAAAACTGCAATGACACATCAAGAGCTGCACCACTAAGATATTCTAGAAACAGAAGTTTTTATCCCATTCAAATTCTATTGTTTCAGATAATTTTCTTTGTAACTTGACTCTATTAATCCACAAATCTTCAAAATTATGTTATCTTAACAATGGATTCCAAATACACGGTCGCAACCAGTTAAATATCTGAGTGTTAATATCAGTACTTTAGAGTCGTCATCACAGTATTAACATGCTCCAAAGTTTTCACAGACTATGTACAAGTTAGACCAACCAGAACTGAGATGCCTTCATATCTAAATTTTTTCCATAGGACCAGTAAACTTGTAGAACAATTATAAAATATCAGGTA